CTCTCTCTCTACTCTCTCTTACTACTATACTACATACAATAATACAACTAACTATACTACCATCGTCTCTCTCGTCTCACACACTACTAAGAACGACTGGTCGATCTCTCTCTCTCTCTCTCTCTCTCTCTCTCTCTCTCTCTCTCTCCCTCTCACACACACACACACACACACACACAAACACATTGGAAATCTCTCTCTCACATATTGGACCACTCCTATCTCATAGCTTCTATTTTGTGAGGGTTGTAGCTTCCAAAGGGTGTTTAAAGGTTTACCCGTGCTTATAAAACTTGCAAAATTTTGATACAATTTAAAGTTCAAGACAATAAATAAACAAGACAATAAATAAAGGTCTCCCATTTCTATGAGAAAAGGTTCTTCCTAACCTATGCGAAAGCCAAATGGTAAGTAGTTACATGGGTAGAAAAGTCGGAAAAAGAGGACAGAAATTTGAGAGCAAACTAAGGAAACCTAAGATCAAATTGGCTATGTAGGGAAGATAACAAGAATGAGGGGGATAAGAGACGAGAGAAAACGGGATTGGATGCAACATGCCAATGAAGAGAGCATGAGGAGAGAGAATGTGTGATGTCAATACAGGTGTGGAGAGAAAAAGAAGCCAAAGAGCGTCTACAGAACTAAGAGCACATAACTTTATCTATCCCACATCATGGTTTATCTATCCTCATTTATAGGGGCCTGCACCTATAAATGAGATCATGGGGGTACTTGTTTGTGGGTTTGGGTAACCCAAGCAAACGTGGCTGAATTAAAAAAAGCATAAAATATTAAACCAACAAAAATTCTAAGAAATAGAAAATACCAAATATTAAATAAACAAAATTTGTAATAAGTAAAAACTAAAAAAATGTGGGAACCCGGTTGTCTAGCCAAGTTCCCTGATAGAACTGGCTGGTTCTATCAGAGAACCGGCTGGGCTATGTCAGGAACTGGCCAATTCCAGATATATGGTGGGAAACAAACCAGTCCCACCAATTCCTAATCCGGATTGGACGATTCTTATCCAAATCAGAGTTTTTTCAAACCTTGTATAGAAGTGTTGTCCTAGTTTTTCAATAGAACTCCCAAGGTCAACATGGTAGACTTGATGTTATCATCTTAATTTGACTAGGAGTTAGGACTAATCTCTTGAGGGGCATTTTTATTTTTATTTTTATTTTGGAACCCATGACAAGTTGAAAGGGAGTGCAAAGGTCTACCACCACGAGGAAAGCTCTTATGTGATAAAGGAATGTAGATAATCAATTATTTTCTACAAAAGTAGTTATTTAATTAAAAAAAATAAACCCCCTTGAGACTCATCCTTGGTTTTCTTCACAAAGGTAGTAATGAGGTCCAGGCAACTGCCGTAGAAACAGTTTGAGTGAACAAATGTCACAATATTTTTATGTAGGATTGTTTTTAATTATAAAAATTTCTGTATGGACATGTCTTGCTATATTAGATATTTCAAATCAAGTACTAGACACACTCCTAGTACGGTGAGAGACCACCATGAGTGTCGCTGACTATGCAACGCAGGATATAACTAGATTGTATTAATCATGTTATTGAACTTTCAGATTCAAAACATCATGTTATTAAACTTCATGTCAAAAAAGTTGAAATTATTTAATACTATACAAGACTGATTGGGATGAAAGTTCCATCTTGAGCTTAGGCCCAAACCCACTGGTGAGCGTGTGGTGGAAGAGCCTCTAAAACAATTATAAAACTTATAATAAGACTCAATCCAGTCAAGAAGCATTGTTCATCACTATTGAAGTACTGATGATTGATGTAGGCGAGGTGCCAAGGTTTGCTTGTTCTTTAATTTATGAAATCTAGGCATTATTTCACAAGGGATCTATCAGCTGCTGCAAGAGGATGTCATTTACTATTTTATAAATAAATGTGACATTAAACAAAAGAGAAATATATAGCAGTTAGCAGAATTCAATGTACAAGCTTTGTGTGTTCAACATTTATCATTTATGATATGCTGATAAATCAACTACGCTGCCATTGACTAATACAACAAAGTACAAAGTGAATACATAAATCTATTTGAGCTAATAATAGTCCAATCACATATAGCCAATGAAAGATAAAGAACTTGTGAAGTTGGAAGACAGCTTTAATTTGGAATTTGAGGCAACAATCAGAAACAAAAGTAAATCCAGTTACAGAATCCAGTTCTAACCAAGCTTGAAAAACAATGATATTAACTGAAAGAATGTGATATGGTAATAGAAGCATGTCTAACCTCTAAAGCTCTGAGAACATGCTCTGGAGCAATTGTTCGCTTTTCCTCTTTACCACAAACTTCATTTGATTCTGAAGATATGAGGTTGATAAATTCTGCAAATAATAAAGCATGAAAACAATGTTTAGTGCTCTTCCTTAAGTCTGCCAGACTGATGCTTGGAATATTCGGTCAAAGATATTAAATTGGCAAATATAATGATGTCATATATATTACATGAAGGCAATATCCTGAAGGCAATTATAATCAACTGGTACTTTAAGGAAAACAATTACTTCAAAAAGAAAGAGAGAGTAACCGAGAAGCGAATAACAGCGCAGTCTTACGCAAAAATGTTAATCGCACAAGACTAGATTTTTAATGTGCAAAGTTGAACATATCAATCATGCAAGAGCAGTAAGTTTCACAAAATGGGTTTAGGAAAAACTTGTTTTTGATAACTACTAACTAGATAAAAATTACGTATGAGGATGGTACTTATTTTCATGGTCTATTCCAAATTTTACACTCAGAACATATTAATATGGAAAATAATTAAGATATTTTTAATGAAGATAAGAATCAACAGGCACTCTTATGAGTACCATGACTGCATACGATACATTTCAAATGATACCAATCCTGTACCTCCAGAAGTCGGAAAATCTTGTATATGTTAGTTTTCCATGGTTAGAGGAACCAAACAATCCTGCTCTATGAAATTCCTAACTAGACTCTGAATTCAAGTAGCATAAAGAAAGCAAACAATACAAACAAATCGCACTTCTGAACTTGACATGTATGAAGATAAACTGCACAGTGAAAGCGGGACAGAAAAGTGGCAATTCCATTGTTACTCGGGGTCTGTTATACTAAGAGAATGACCATGTACATGCGTGCAAATAATAAAAAATTCTGATCTCCTATTTAAGGTTCACAATTTGCATCCAATGCAGGATCTAGTACAAATATGTGCTTAACACACACAAACATGCCAATATACATGTGCATAAGCCTGCACATGCATACATACAAACATGCACACTCTCACATTAAAATAAACAAACCAAATTAACTACAACTTGTGAGTCCTCAGGATAGCCTAATTACACATAATCTGGACATCAAATTAAATGTAGTGAGCACAAAAGTGGTAACTACCACTGGTTGAAAATCTTTAACTGCAAATGCATTATATATTCAATTGTCTACATACATTCAGTGTTTAAAAAATCGGAGATCCGATCCGGAATCGGGTGATCCGCATCGGTCAGCCAGCTCGTTCCGGATCCCACCATAAAACGGAATTCGGCTGTTTTTTACTGAGATTCAGTAAACATGACATCATGAATCACGTGAATTGCCATGTATGACTCATCAATCGCCGAATGTGACTTACTAACGCAGAGAATCGTATTATGACATCATACAACGGTGCCTTAACGTCACATATCGAACACGTCACCAACTCTGTAGATTTGACTTCTTTTTTTTTAAAAAAAAATCCTCAAGTAAAGCACGCCATGCCATGCCACGCCACACTATGTGGTGTACACCAACTTTATAGATTTGACTCATTTTTTTATTTGAAAAATCCTCACACACCACGTGGGTCCACCAACTCTGTAGGTTTGACTTTGTTTTTAATTTGAAAAATCCTCAAGTAAAGCACGCCACACCATGGGCGTACCCCATCCCACTGGGGTCAGCCCATCATGGCAACACGACACATCACGCGCGTCAAGCTCCTTCCCTATAGCCATGTTAAAGCCCTTTTACATTGACTTTGCCTTCTAAAAATCTTCGATGTGGGACTATTCGCTGTCCCTAAAGCAAAGGGAGGTTTAAACAATGAGCTTGTCTTGTAGCGTGCACATAACTTCGATGTGGGACTATTCCATGTGGGAATTTATTTCAAGTTGCTTTATCAATTATCCCACATTGCAAATATGCATTTTTTTATTTATTTTCTTAATTTTATTAAAATATAATTGCAAATTTATGTTACTAAATTCTGTATTTCTATCAACACTAATTATTGTACATTATTTATGTTACTAAATTCTGTATTTCTATCAACACTAATTATTATACATTAGATTTATTTATTTGTGAGGGCCATGACTCATACCCTTGTTTTTTGAATCATGTTTATTATAATATTGTAATTAATAATTATACTAATTACAATGATAATCAAATCTTATATTTTATTTATTAATTTATTTACATTATAAATTAGGCAATGTATTAATT